CGGGAGGATAGGAAGAGAGTGAGATTTGTTACGAGCAGGGGCACTTATTGTTATGTGGTGATGCCCTTTGGCTTGAAGAATGCGGGTGCGACGTATCAAAGGCTGGTCGATAAAATTTCCAAGGAGCAGCAGGGAAGGAATATGGAGGTTTACGTCGATGATATTGTGGTAAAGAGTAAGGCGGAGGCTGATCACGCGAATGATTTAAAGGAGACGTTCTTGACTTTGCGGAGGTATGGCATGAAACTGAATCCCGCTAAGTGTTCTTTTAGAGTGAAGTCGGGAAAATTTCTGGGATATATGGTGACAAAGAGGGGGATCGAGGTCAACCCGGAGAAGATCAGGGCGGTGATCGAGATGAAACCGCCCACAAAGGTGAAGGAGGTGCAGATCTTGACCGGCAGGATTGTGGGCCTGAGTCGTTTCATATCAAAGGTGGCGGAGAAGAGTGGTCCTCTGTTTCGAACACTGAGGAAGAGCTCGAAATTCCAGTGGACGGAAGAGGCTCAGAAATCATTCGAGGACTTACAGAAGGTGTTAGCCAACCTGCCTCTGTTGGCTAAGCCGGTTCTTGGGGAGGATCTAGTGCTATACATATCGATCGGGGAAATGGCTGTAAGTTCGATTTTATTGCAGGAGGAGGGCACGGTGCAATTCCCAATCTATTATGTAAGCAGGGTGATGTAGGGTGCGGAGAGGAGATATTTGGAGATCGAGAAGTGTTCCTTAGCCGCGGTGGTCACGGTGAGGAAGTTGCGGGCTTATTTTCCGGGCCACAAGGTGAAGGTGAGGACGGACATGCCACTGGGAGAAACTTTAGGTCGACCCTCTGTATCGGGTCGACTAGTGAAGTGGACGGTCGAGCTGAGTGAATACATGATAACATACGAGCCTAGGAGGGCGATCAAGGCTCAGGGGTTGGCTGATTTTATACAAGAAGGTACGAAAGTAGAGGAAGAGACAGAAGGTGTTTGGCAGATGTTTGTTGACGGCTCGGTATCGAGAGTCGGAGGAGGTTTGGGCATAGTGTTAATTTCACCCAAAGAAGATAATTTGGAGTTTGCAGTCAAAGTTGGGTACAGGGTGTCGAACAATGAGGCGGAGTACGAGGCGGTCATTAAAGGAATGCAGTTGGCCATGGCGGGAGGAGCTCGAAAGATTTAGGTGCATTCTGATTCTCAACTAGTAGTGGGCCAGTTCCAGGAGGATTTTGAGGTGAAGGAGAAAAGGATGCAGAGGTATGTGTAGGAGATGAAGAGGTTGTGAGAGGAGTTTAGCTCGTTCGAGCTGGTGCAGATACCTCGAGGGGAGAACGGTCGAGCAGATCTATTATTCAAAATCGCACAGAATCTGGTCGACTGTAAGAGCAGAAATGTTACTTTGCTAAACATAGAGAAGAGTGTGGTCGAGTGTGAGGTGGTTGAAATAGAGGAGGTCAATGACTGGAGAGCCTCGATATTGAAGGAGTTGAAAGAAGGAAGGGCAAAAGTGTTGAGGAGGTTCTTTGAACATGGAGGGGTGTTGTATAAGAGGTCGTACATTGGACCTCACTTGAGGTGCGTTACACGAGATGAAGGTCGATACGTGCTGAGGGAGACCCACGAGGGATGTTGCAGTGATCATAGCAAGGTGGGTTCCTTGGTGGCAAAAATTCTGAGGGCAGGATATTTCTGGCCAACTATGAAAGAGGATGCGAGGATGATGGTGAAAAAATGTTTGCAGTGCCAGAAACACGGCCCACTTATCCATCAGCCGGCAGAGGCGATGACTACGATGAGTGCTCCTATCCCATTTTCGTAGTGGGGTGTCGATCTGGTGGGGCCGATGCCGCAGGGAACTGGGCAAAGAAAATTCTTGATTGTGGCGGTGGATTATTTCACGAAATGGGTGGAGGCCGAACCGTTGGCCATGATCACAGAGGAAAAAGTCATACAATTTTTATATAACAATATTTGTTGCAGGTTTGGCATCCCAAAGGTGTTGGTATCCAACAACGGGACACAATTCAATGGCAAGCGGATTCGAGCATGGTGTGACGACATGAAGATCGAGCAACATTTTGCATCGGTTGCTCATCCGCAAGCCAATGGACAAGTCGAGGTGACCAACAGAATCATACTGAATGGCCTTAAAACGAGACTGGAGAAGGCATCGGGCGCATGGGTCAATGAGCTCACTTCAGTACTTTGAGCGTATCGAACAACGCCAAGGTCGACCACGGGAGAAACACCATTCAGTCCGGTTTATGGTATGGAGGCATTACTCCTAGTTGAGATCGAGGTCCAGTCCCAAAGATCGAGCACATATGATCCAGAGAAAAACAAGAACTTGATGATGGCGGCCCTCGACATAATTGAAGAATTTCGAGAACGTGCCTCGATCAGAATTGAGGCGTACAAACAAAGGATACGAGCAGCACATGACAGGAAGGTGAAAGTCAGAAGATTCCAGGTAGGTGACCTGGTCTGGAAGAGGGTGGACGTGCTGAAGCATGTGGGCAAACTCGAGCCCAACTGAGAAGGACCATACCTGGTCGAGAAGGTTCATGCAGGAGGAGCATATTCACTCAAGGACGCCGAAGGAAGATCACTCCCATGTCATGGAACGTTGCTAACTTGAAGAAATATTATGTTTAAATTTTTCTTTAGCTGTTCGCATTCCCCTCTCTCTTTTATTAGAAATTTTTCACAAAGACGATGTAATTGAATTCCCAGTTTGTGATTAATGAAATTTCAGTTGCAATCTTCAATACCTTGCCTAATTGTTGCTTTATTTTATTGTGCATGTGCGGTGTCGTATAATCACTGGCAGGTCGAAGGAAAAATCCATCATGATTAAGGCCTAGAGGCTGGATGGTCGCATGTAACGACCACTCCTTTGAGGGTGGACATGTGTTCGAAGACACAAATCCATCACGACTAAGGCTGAGAGGTTGGACGGTCGCATGTAACGACCACTCCTTTGAGGGTGGACATGTGCTCGAAGACAAAAAATCCATCATGATTAAGGCCGAAAGGCTGGATGGTCGCATGTAACGACCACTACTTTGAGGGTGGACATGTGTTCGAAGACACAAATCCATCACGACTAAGGCTGAGAGGCTGGATGGTCGCATGTAACGACCACCCCTTTGAGGGTGGACATGTGCTCGAAGACAAAAAATCCATCATGATTAAGGCCGAGAGGCTGGATGGTCGCATGTAACGACCACCCCTTTGAGGGTGGACATGTGCTCGAAGACAAAAAATCCATCATGATTAAGGCCGAGAGGCTGGATGGTCGCATGTAACGACCACTCCTTTGAGGGTGGACATGTGTTCGAAGACAAAAATCCACCATGATTAAGGCCGAGAGGATGGATGGTCGCATGTAATGACCACTCATTTGAGGGTGGACATGTGTTCGAAGACAAAAATCCATCATGATTAAGTCCGAGAGGCTGGATGGTTGCATGTAACGACCACTCCTTTGAGGGTGGACATGTGTTCGAAGACAAAAATCCATCCTGATTAAGGCCGAGAGGCTGGATGGTCGCATGTAACGACCACTCCTTTGAGGGTGGACATGTGCTCGAAGACAAAAAAATCCATCATGATTAAGGCCGAGAGGCTGGATGGTCGCATGTAACGACCACTCCTCTGAGGGTGGACATGTGTTCGAAGAAAAAAATCCATCATGATTAAGGCCGAGAGGCTGGATGGTTGCATGTAACCACCACTTGTTCACGGTATGCTTGCAGAAAACGCCGACCCGCGGTGGTGTGGAAGACACCCTCCGTGCCCGAAGTGTAGCCTCGTAGATTAGAGGCTTGGCCAGTTGCTCGAAGGCAAGGTTTTCACGTGCCCAAGCCGCCTTCTCTTCCTCGAGTGCAGCCTCCAGACCTTTCTGGGAAGCCTGGAGGACCTCTTTCTCCGCTCGCTCAGCCGCGAGCGCCTCCTCAAGAGATTTCAGGGCCCCCTCGAGTGTTTCTTTCTCAGAGGCAAGGGCCTTGTTCTTGGCGGCTGATTCTTTCAGCTTCTGCTGGAGCGCATTACTCTTGACGACAAGCTCGTCCAATCGATCACCAAGCTGAAGAGTGCTTCATTCAATCGCGAGCTGGCTAAAGTTTGCTCGAACTGGCTAAAGTTTGCTCGATCAGTGGCGCGAGCTCAACCATTCCCTGTAAGAGCACATGAAAGAAAGTGTTAGGGCACTCACGATGACAGGAAGTGGAGTAAAACAGATAAACATCAAGCTATAGTAGGTTACCTGAGCCAGCCATCGGGCAATCCGATTGCCCCGGTCTCGAAGGTATGACCGTCATTATAGCGGTCGGTAGGACGGTCGACGGGAGGAAGGACATCCCTAAGGAAATGCGAGAACCTCGTGCCGTCAAGTGTAGTGATCGAGAGTGCGGTCTCCTCGGACAACGGTGCTTGCCAGCATTTTCATCCCCCTCAACAAGGGGACGCTTAAGTTGATTCTCCTCGAGCAGAGTCTTCTCGGGAGAAGCAGTAATGTGAATGATCGGAATGGACCGTTTTGTTTTTGTAGGCTGGTCCGACCTATTGCTCTTCCCTTGTGCCTATTTCGCTTTAGGTGGTTGATTCACAAGTACAACCTTTGTAACTTCATGGTATACTCACGGATTAGCCAGTTCCTATTTAGAAGGCTGTAATTTCCTAACGGCCGCAGTTTCTACTCCTGCTAATAGTTTCTCGCATTCTTTATTATTTCTATGAGGTCCTGAAGCACAAGGAGATTTGACCCGTTGGTGTCAATTAGGTGGTCTGTGGACTTTTGTTGCTCTGCATGGTGCTTTCGGACTAATAGGTTTCATGTTACGTCATTTGAGCTTGCTCGATCTGTTCAATTGCGACCTTATAATGCAATCTTATTCTCGGGTCCCATTGCTGTTTTTGTTTCTGTATTCCTGATTTATCCACTAGGACAGTCTGGTTGGTTCTTTTCACCTAGTTTTGGCGTAGCAGCTATATTTCGATTCATCCTATTTTTCCAAGGATTTCATAATTGGACACTAAACCCATTTCATATGATGGGAGTTGCTGGTGTATTGGGGGCTGCTTTGCTATACGCTATTCATGATGCTACCGTCGAAAATACTTTATTTGAAGATGGTGATGGTGCAAATACATTCCGTGCTTTTAACCCAACTCAAGCTGAAGAGACGTATTCCATGGTCACCGCTAACCGCTTTTGGCCCCAAATCTTTGGGGTTGCTTTTTCCAATAAACGTTGGTTACATTTCTTTATGTTATTTTTACCAGTAACCGGTTTGTGGATGAGTGCTCTTGGAGTAGTGGGTTTGGCCCTGAACCTACGTGCTTATGACTTCGTTTCTGAGGAAATACAAAATCGATAGGCAAAGAGACCAAGGTGCAGGGTTGATAATGCAAAATGAGGAGTTTCAGCTGGGCTGGGACCTACCTGGTTATTATATATACAACCTAATCTGGCAGCTTGACAAGACAACTTTTACCCTGGTTAAAATCAAGGGGGCTGCAACAATACACCTCTTAAACTTCCTGATTAATATGTATAAGAGAAGGACGCGGTTACGCTTAATGTTTTCTGAGTCTTTTATAACTTTTCCCTCTTTGTTAACCGAGGGAATCATCTATATAGAACACCTTAGTCTACCTGAAAAACAAGATGGACAGTTTATTATGTATCAAACCATAGGTATTTCGTCGATTCCTAAGAGTCAAGACCAAACTAATCAAAACTACCAAGAGCAAGGATATCTTTCTAAAAATCATTTTGATGAAGCTATTTCAACCCATCAAAGAATAATAGAAAATAGAGATAAAAGTCGTTTTGATTTTCCTGTTCCTGAAAATATTTTATCGTTTAGACGTCGTAGAAAATTGAGAATTCTAATTTGTTTCAAACCCGAACCAAAGACTAGAAATGATATAGATAGAAATCGAGTATTTTGGAACGAAAAGAAGAAAAAAAGCAGCACCCAAGTTTCCCGTGACAATAAGCATCTTGATAGAGAGAAAAATCAATTACTGAAATTAAAGCTTTTTCTTTGGCCTAATTATCGATTAGAAGATTTAGCTTGTATGAATCGTTATTGGTTTGATACGAATAAAGCTTTCCTACTCCTTCTCTTCCTTATTTCTTTCCTACTCCTTCTCCTCCTTATTTCTTTCCTACTCCTTCTCCTTTTTGATTCCATCCATAAATCGATTTTCTTCCCTATTAGTTCTAGTCTCAATAAGAATGCTACTTCTTTACTGTTCTTATATACTCTAATATAATAGAAATCAAACAATATAATATAAAATAGAAATCAAATAATATAATAGAAATAGAATTCTAATAGATAGACCATTTTTGGAATATCATAACAATGTGACCCTCGAACAATTCAATTGAAATTCGCTCTCTAGTGATGGAACTTCATCATCCGTAATGAGAATGTTCAATTGGCCGAAATGTAATTATCTTCGAGAACAAAATGTCTATTATGCTTAATATCGGTAATTTGATTTGTCTTAATTCTACCATTCATTATATTAGGTATCAAAGAAAATCCATTTTGGCTTCAAAAGGGACATCTCTTTTCATGAATAAATGGAAATGTTACCTTATCACTTTTTGGCAACGGCATTTTTCATTGTGGTTTGATCCAAGAAGGGTTTATATAAACCAGTTCTCCAATCATTTCTTTGAAATTTTGGGCTATCTTTCAAGTTTGCGAATGAATTCTTCAGTGGTACGGAGTCAAATTCTAGACAATTCATTTCTAATTCAAAATGCTATTCCGAAGGTTGATACCCTTGTTCCAATTATTCCTCTGATTGCGTCATTGGCTAAAGCAAAATTTTGTAACTGTTGTAGCAAATAATATTTTTACCGAGTACGGGATGACTCCCGACCTCGGGTCGATCTCACGAGGAAGGCGGTTCGGAATTCAGCTTGGAATCGATCACACGTAAAAAGAAAATAGATCATAAACACTCTAATCAGATAGTAGATTGGATGAACTATTAACTAAGAAATGAAACAGAACAATAATCTACCTAAAAAAAATATAAACGGAACAAAGATGGAGAAGCTAGGTAATCGGGGATAATTAATTCAAGTTATAGCAAAGCCGGGCAATTAATCATTTGGTTCGAGATTGACACTCTCGCTTAAACATCTAGAGGTTCGCTCCCAATAACTCTTCGTAACAAGGGATTGAACATAGACGAACAAGCTCGAGCATACAACACAGGCCAGTTATCCCAATCCCAATAACTTTTCGTAACAAGGGACTAGTCATTGATAAGCACGTATTTGAATCTCAACCCATGGATTATTCAGTTACGAAATTATCTACCTCATGCGAGCCTAGGTCTACGACTTCTCCCCTTTCGGTTCAGAAAGTCGCTAATTTAATTAGAAGGTGTTTAATCAATAATCATTGAAATCAATTAAACCAAACTCGACAACTCAATATCCAATTGTTACCAATTGCAAGATCGAAGTGTCACCCTTCGATTACATCAAACTATCAAGCATAATTTCATCAATTCTGAATAAATCAACTCACATAAGCATGAACAATCTTGAGCCCGACAAATACACATTAAACAAGAACAATCATCCGCTATTCAATAAGAATTAGCTACGTAAAATAAATTCAACACCAATAATCATCTCTTCCAAATCAATCATTATTCATGAATTAATTCAAAGAGAAAAGAAACTTACAATTTATTTTAGTCGAAGTGTTGAATCCCAAAGTACAAAGCTTAATCCTTGATAACTAAGAAGAAGAAGAAGAAGAATGGAAAAAAAAAGTGAAAAGAACGAAGAAAAATGAAGAAGAAGAAGAAGAAGAAGGGAAGGAGAAAGGAGTTTCGTGTTTTTTACGGGCTAGGGTTCATCCCCAGAAGGGGAGAATTCCCTCTGTCGAAATCCCGATGCAAATATATATAAGAGCAGGTCTTCACGGCGTGAGAAATAGTGGCACGGTGCGGAGCATCCATGTGGCGCGGCGCGGCGCGGCAGGGGTAGCACGGCGTGTCGCACGAAGCAGCACTCTCTGAAGGCCCGTGGAGTGCTTAACGCCGTGGAGGAAGTGTGTGGCGCGGCGTGGGACTGTTTCGCGCTGCGGAGGGGGCCAGTGCCGCGCCACTGAGGGTTGCCGCGCCGCGGCGCGCGGGGCTGCTGGCTCGGCTGCGCGACTTTTACGTTTTGGGCTCGTTTGGGCTCGTCCGAACTCGGAATTGAGTTCCGTTTTTTCCTTCGCGTCGCTAACGAACCCCTTTATTCAATGATGCTTTCATGACCAGAGTTTTCCAATAGTACAATCCTCTAGAGTTTTCCAACCTTCAAACAGTCGGCAGCTTGCTGGACTTTACGTTTCGGCCCTGTTCGGATTCGTTTGAACTCGGAATTGAGTTCCGCTTTTTCCTACTTGTAGCCAACGAACCCATCTATCTAACCATGATTTCTCAGCCTGTTTTCAAGCTAAACTTATTCCTCACGGGCTTCTGACCTGCACACCAAAAACAAGAAAAACTGAAAAACATACGGAAAACACAAGAAAAACCAAGATAGAGGAAGACACGCAATAAACTACAAAACGAGATAAAAACTAACTAAAAAAACTAATATGGGGGAAAAAGAAAGGAAAAATAACAAGAAAAAAACGCAACAAAAATGGGACAAACAACTCAACCACACTTAAACCTTTGTTCGTCCCAAACAAAAACAAAAGAAAAGAAAACAAGACACGAGCATGGATATCGGTTTCAAATAAGAAAAGTTTTAAATTCATTGACTTAGCAGAGGAGACTTCAAAAGGCCAATAAAACACATCTCAATTACAACTTAAATGGTACGCATTGACAGGACAAACTCTCAAACACGGAAATATCATGTATAATGCCTCACTCAGTTTCTTACATAAATATGAAATGGGAACGCTCAAATTGGTCGGCAATCAAGTTTCAACATAGGCTTGCTTATCGTCTGCTCATACTCTAAAACAATGAAAGATCATTAATTTGCAAATCAAGAGGGCTTCATGGGTTGTAATGTAGGTATCAAAGGAAGGTCAAATAAGAAGATAAAGTGGCTCAAATAAATAGTCACACTTTCGAGCACATAAATACTCGAATGCCCCACCACTTATCCGTAATCAACAAGAAACTAATCATTCTCATCAAAAACTCCATACACTACTCACACATGCTCAAGCTGAAATGCAAATTAAGTACTTGACTNAGTTATAAACATTCTCCAAACACATAGTAGAAACCCGTCATCATAACAATTGCACTGTCAAATCTCAAGAAATTTTATCAATTCGGTTGACAAGAAACAAGGTTCAAGGCTCAACGGGCTACTAGCGAAAATATAACTTTAAGGGACAATGAAAAAGGCTAGAACGAGCAATGCCAACGAAAAGCCTCAATCATATTCACAAACCACAACTTCAATTGATTATTTCAAAATAGACTCAAGCAAGTTCTGATCAACAAAATTCCGACCATATCTCACAGAAACAGAATAAGGCTCAAACCTCACAAGGCAAATAATATCCAATCAAAACGACCAATCAAGTTCATCAAAATATGCCATCATGATCAACATCACATCTCCTCAACTTCATCAACAAATATCAACAAAACTTAAACTGCACCAATATCCATACTCACAAGACACAAAAAAAAAATAAGAAAAGAAAAAACTAAAACTAGATTGATTCACCACATAAGCATGCCAAATCTACGTAAACTCCTCCACACTTAAAATGAGGCAATGTCCTCATTGCTTCAACACAAAACTGGGAGCCAAATACAAAAACTATCAATTTCATGCAATAAACCAATACCAGCAGCTAACACAAGCACACAAACTAAGAAGGAAAAGCAGAAGGAAGAAACACACTCAAAAAAATGTAAAAAGAGAAAAGGTGTGCAAACCGGGGGTGACTCAAGGAGACTAAGCGTCCAGTGCATGCCTTTCGCCCAAGCTCCAAGCCTCGATAGGTCCTGACAAGCAAAAACCACACAACTCCCAAAACTCCAATTATTCAAGAATAAAAACTAAAAATGCATAAACGAAATTAGCTAAGAAAGCGGTAAATATCACTTGGGTTGCCTCCCAAGAAGCCCTTATTTTACGTCATTAGCTTGACAAAACCTGGGGTGACTCATCCAGGGTCTAGGAAAAAGTGACGATCGGGCTACGCCTTTGTATGCTTGAGAAGTGGCAGTGTTGGCTCTAAGGCCAGAAGGCGGGCACTGTGGGCACGAGTGGCTATATTCTTGATGTAGTGAGTCTGTTCACGAGCAATCCCCAATGTTTAGAGCAGAGCCTTCCCCAACCGAGCTCCCTCGTCAACCTCGGCAATCAAAGGAGCATCAATTGAGAAAATCGAAGAAAATACCATCACCTCCAGAAAGCAGTGCAATGGCCTCGGAGGCGGATGCTCCAACTCGAAGGTGGGAGGAGGGTCTTGTGAATCGACCTCCTCCTCTAATGCATCGTACCCGGCTCGTGGGAGAATGTTATCCTCTTCGCCCTCACACATTTGCTGCAGAATTCGAGCCTGAGGGTCAAGCATGAAGTGAGGGTTGTCGACTTGTGCCTCAATCGAATCGAGACGTACAGTGAGGCTCTCTATTTGTGTGCTCAGCCGAGCACATCCGAGCTCAATCTCCTTTTCTTGGTTTGCTCTGGCCATCATCCAATCGAGATTGATGTAACGCCCCACTTTATTTTAAAGATTTACCGTATTTATTTAATAATAATCTCTATAAATTTTTCGCAAATCTCAATTTAATAAAAACTTATTGGGCGCTACTTCTTTCAAAACAAACATCAATACTCAATCAATCTTCAATTCTTAGTCAATTATTAATACTCAATACTCAATAATAAACCTCAATACTCCTGTCTGCAATCCAATAATCATGATATCTAGGGAATACATTCTCTATCAATAATCCAGTACTCATTATTCGAAAAACATAAATAACAATAAACAATTCAGACAAGCGGAAGCAATATCAACAATATGACCACCACTCGCATCCCTCCGCCGTGCCCGCAATATTAACCTGCATCCATGAAGAGCAGGTGGGGATGAGTACAATTGGAATCCGTAGTGCTCACCACTATGCCATAATCAACACTCATAATATAGAACTGATAATATCACAGCATTGTCACAAATAACATATTCCATCTCCCATCAATAATATCTATTCATGTGCACATCTCTATAAGGCTACTGAGTGTCTTCGTATCGAATGCCTCCATACAGGCCTTACATCGGCGCCCACTCAGTAGGAGTATCTGTCGATTGCCTCCGTACAGGTCTTACAACGACATACATATCAAAAGCCTTCGGCCACTGCCCCGGTCTTACATACGATATGGCCTCCGTACAGGACTTAAGGAGACTGCCTATAATTAGGCACCGTCGAAGTGTATACAACTCACATCGACGGGGACCACCGTACCGACGGCCGTTATTAGCTCACATCGATAGGCTACCAGGTTCACATACATATACAATAATCGCACCAATCTCAACATATATAAACACGTATGGCATAGCAATTTTAAATAAAACCCACAACAATAACAATTAGATTAGGGCATAGGAAATTTTGAATAACCCACCTGGTGGCAAATAGAAGATAATCACGAAAGCACGATTAGGCTGCGAGTTCGGCTCGTCAAACACCTACATTAAGTCCAGATGCTATAATCAACATCTATTCTGACTTAAACGAAAAACCACAATCATACTTAGTCGAACTTGATTCAACTAAGTTGTTCGTGAAGTCCTGTGGACGTTGGAACACTTAAACTTGACATCTAGACTCAACCAATTACACATGGGAGTTCACATAATCCAAAAATAAACATTGACCAAGTCAAACACTTAATGAAACAAATGACTAGTCGGTTTACAGTTTTTATTCTAAAAACCCCGATTATGATTATACTAGTTTAAATCACAAAAATGAGTTGACCAGGTTGCCATATGAATTTGGCTCTCAAATTTTAACCAAAATTTGACCTTCCAGAGGTAAGCACATACAGAAATTTTAAGCTTCAAATCCCAAGTACACTATTTTATAAAATTCCCACAAGATTTCAGCAAAACCGAGCCAGGAATTTATACTCAAACCTAATGAATGATTCAGGACTTGATAATTTTACACAATACCCTACAGCATGATATAAACAACATATAAAAACCTCAGCCCTTAACATTAACTGCTGCTATTTTTTAAAATCCAAACAAGATTCAGCAGTTTATCGAATTTAAATCAAAACTGAATCGAAATGAACTCCAAAAATTTTCATATTTTAACAGCATGAATAAACACATAAGACAAGCAACACAGTAAAGTTTCAGAACTTTCCATCAACAACTCAGTTTATTAAAATTAAATTATGAAACTGCAGAACACAACAAATAATCTTTACACATAGCAAACGAAATCCAAAAATTCCAAAACTTTTACACGACCTAGAAAACATAGAGGAAGACAGCATATTAAAATTTCATAAATTTTGAGGCACAACTGAATTTAATATGCATTTTACATGATTCTGCTCAAATTTCCAAACAATTATTAAAAATAGCTAAACTTATTATTTAAATCTGAAATTTTTACACAACATGTATTTCCAGTAGAGGGTCGAGCACATAAAATTTCACTTTGATTCGAGCATCACAGAATTTATCATAATTTATATATCAAAACAGCAATTAAACAATTTCAATAATTCATAACTGACTCGATTTACGACGAATCCGTCCGAAGTCTTCGCCATAAGACTAAGGACGATATAAGTTCCAGCCCACAGCGACAAATTCACGAGTTGACAAGGCCTCGTTCGATTTTTCCAAAATCGAAAGGCTCGTCAACGCACAATTCCATAAACCACAACAATAATAACCTCATGAACACAAATAAAATCACATAGGCATATTCCCATGAATTCAATATTCACATACAACAAACAAATTCACAACATAAACGAGACGTAAAATTAAACGAGACAAGTCGAGCCTTGTACCGTTCTCGGGAAATAAACGAAAACGGAACGAACGGTTGACGGAAAGCTCAGTGGCTCGAGGAGAGGGTCACCGGCTCACACGCAGCGGCTTGAGTGTGTCTGTGGCGGAGCAGCAGTGGTCGAGGGTGCTGCAGCTGGTGGTCCGCGGCCTGGAGATCGCGAACGGAGGGTGAGGTCGCCGGAAAACAGGTTCACGCGAGAACGATAGCGGGAGAGGATCGCGGGGAAAGGGAGATGACGGGCTTGCAGCGTTTGAGAGGGGTTCACGGCACTGCTGGCTTGTTGTGGTGGCGAGATGGGCCTGACGAGATGATGGCGACGGGATGATCGAGTTCTCGCGAGGAAGATGATGATGGCGAAAAGCGAGGGATGAAGATGATGACAATGGGCGATGATGGTTGAGAGGGATGATGATAACGATGAAGGCAAGGGGTTACCTTCTCTGCTCAAGTCGCCAGATCGAGAAAAACAGATGAGAGAAAAAAAAAAGAACTGCGGGGCGAGAGATGAGAGATAGAGAGGAGGGTGAATACATACGTATGTATATGTATAATTGTAACGTCTCACTTTTATTTGCTGAAATTCAGAATAAATTTTTTTAAAATTTATTTTAAAACACTTGAGGCGCTACTCTTTTTCAAAAACAATTTTAACAGTATCACATATGCAATTCCCAACGAGTTCATTAATCATAAATAATCAACACCCAAACCGGGTTCAATAATCGTCAATAGTCAACACCCACACCGTGTTCATCAAATCCACAAATACTAGGGAGAACACTCCCTATCGATAATCCGTTATTCAACATAAGTCAGGAATGCATAGTTCAGAATAAGCAATTTAAGCAGCGGAAATAAGCGATAACATGACCACCACTCGCCTTCCTCTGCCGTGCCCGCAAATACTAACCTGCATCCATGAAGAGCAGGTGGGGATGAGCACAATAGGAAATCGAGGTGCTCACCACTATGCAATAATTAATATTAAATTTCATAAAGTAAAGCAGGTATGGTCGCAGTATGAACACAAATCAATTAATATCCCATCTCCTTCCCAGAGTCAACTCTCATGTGCACATCTATACCAATAGACCATTGCTGATACATGTATCGAAAACCCCCGCGGGCCTTACATTCGATGCCCAGACAGTAGGAGTAAATCCACCCCGAATGCCCGGAAACATCCCATCGGACTTACATCGAGGATCACCAGCCAAGGCTCACGCCCTGACTGCCATACATAAATAAAGGAGACACCCCATCGGGTACGTTCTATAGCTACGGGGATAACCGTTCGACCGCCAATATAGCTCACATCGAAGGCTACACGGTTCACATGCATACTTTGATCATACCACAAGAATAACAATTAATCAATGCATAGAAACTTTTCAAATAAAACCCACCTGGTGTTCGGAAATATCAAATGCAAGTGCTCATGATAGGTTCGAGGGCTCGACTCCTCAGAAACCTAAAAATTAGGAATTTAATTATTATTATTGGTTTTTTGTTAGATTGGTTGGGCAACACAAGCAAGGCAAACATATCAAATTAAGCACATAAAACAAGCAATGAATTAGATAATTTCTACTCTCTCAAATAAATTCCTTTTAACCACGAAAATTAATATGGCCACGGACACGCAAACCTCAACCAAAGCAAACCTCAACCAAAACAAAGCCACCATTAAAAGTCTTCTCTTCTTAGACTTTTAATTAACTTCTTAAGCATGATTATCATATAAAATAAGCTCAGCAACTGAGCAAGATCACACGGCCAAATAGCAACATATATTCATACATACATGCTTTCATTTCCAACTTCTATCAACACCTGAGCATGCTCTCTTTAAACCATTCAAGGCTGGGAGTTATACGCCACAAACTCAGCATAACAACAATATACTTAGGCATAAAATTGTACTTGATAACATTCCCCATAACTCTCAAATAAACAAAGTATAAATGGCACCAAAACATGTTTCTTTTGGCTCAACCAGCATGTACAAAACAAACCAGTAACAACAACTCAACTATTATGCATCCATTTTGCTCTACTAAACTCTAACCAAAATTAGTACGACAAGAAGGCTTTTAAGCTGAACAAACAACCTCTTCTAACACCTAAAAAAAATCCGCATATACTCAGCTCATAGCATATGATTAAGACAACAGCCTCCAAACATAAATAAACAGGGTAAAGTATCATATAGTCCAAAACATGCTAGCTCATGAATAATAATAACAAATAACAACATAAACATCACAGTAAGGCTCATCATAAACAACATAGAACCAGGCCAAAACAAGAAAGTCATTAAGTCCTCAGCATATAACCAACAGCAACAATGCCTCAGCAAAGTTCAAACACGCAAGGCAACAAAATCATTCGACATAGGCATAATGTTTACACCGAAAATCAAGCGCAAATAAACCACAACATCTTATCCATATAGAGGGTAAAAAGGCGTCAGCCATAATACCTACTGAAAAGAGGGCTCGAATCGCTCGACGGACATCCCCTGGAGACGGTCGACAAGCCCCGGGTTGCTGTCCAGTAACCGGACGTGGGAAAACAGGCTGTTCGGGGCTCTCGGCAAAGGATCGACCCGCTTCTGTTCTCGCCCGGGACCCAAAAGGTCTGCTGCTGCTCAGAATTGAAACCGTCGGTTGCTCGATAAGAGCCTCGAGCGGCTGCTGCTCGTTGCCGGAAAAAGCTCGGGTCTACACGGCTATGGCGAACGGCTGGGTGCACTCGTTCGCCGGCAGGGCTGCTCGAATCTTCGCTAAGGGTCAGCCTTCGACAGTCGCGCTTGGTCTCTTCAGCCGTCGGGAACTGAAGCTCTTCGCCGGCGTTTTTCCGCTTTCGATTGCACAATCTCTGACGCCTGGAACTCGCCGGACTGGTGCTGCTCTCGCTGGAAATCCCGTCGCTGAGGCTTGGTGCTCTTGCCGTTGGATGGCCGGAGGTCAGAGTTTGAAGGGATCGAGGCTCAGTCGGGCTAGAGATCGGAGGTTGGATCGCGGCTCGACGTCGGGAATAGATCCGCCGCGGCTGCTCGTTCTCGGTTCACCTACATCGCGTCGCCGGGAATCTCGTCGTTGGGCAGATTCGGCTGCTCTCGCCGGGAAATTAGACTCAGGTCGCGGAGGAGCTCGGGAATCACGGCTCGAGATAGAAGCTAGTTGTCCGTCTAGAGATCGGAGGTCGGAGCTCAAAGGTCTCGGAGGTCGTCGGCGCGCACGGACTCCTCGTAGCCAGAAATGGTTGTGAAATCCGGAGGAGAATTCAAGGGGCTTAAAATGGGAGATGCGGCTGATGCTCTCAATCCCTTAAATAGGGAGTATTAGGGCAAATCCGATCAAAACAGTGTGGCCGGAATTTGGGGAAAGGCCGAGGATTATAGACGCCGTTGCACGAGAGCTGCGACCGTTTCTTTGGAGGGGAGAGAGTTGCTCGAATGAAGAAGATGGGCAATGGGTTGCTTATTATTAGTTTGGGCCGACAACTTAGCAATTCTTAGATACTCTTGGGCTACATATTGGGCTAAGTCATTAACTTCAATTTGCGCCAAGAAGATTTACTCAAAATAAAGTGGTCACTCAACATAAAGGAAAATGGGCTGGATATAAAAATTTAAATCAATTTCGCTAGTATTATTCCCAATAAGGGTCGAAAAATAAATATTCGAAAATGAGCCGAAAATATTCTCGATAAATTGGGCCGATAGAATAACGCGGTAACAAGGACTTCCAATCGACATGATTAACGAATTGGCGATGGAAAATAATGAAATAGAGCGACTTATTACATCAATTAGACGAGAACCTCCAATTAAAAATAATAAGACTAACCGAAAATATCGAGTAGTTACCGGAATAAAATAAAATACGATAATTAAATAATCCACGAAAATACATAATAATAATATTAGTAAAAATACAAATACACATTTAATTAGATAAAAATAACATTTAGAAAATTAGGCATTTAATTACAATTTGACAAATAAATCATATAAGACATTTAAAAATTTTTAATCAAATAAACAATAAGAACAACAAATAAATAATAATAATAATAATAATAATAATAATAATAATAATAATAATAATAAATAATCCTCAAAAATTTTATAATCAAACGGGGCATTACAATCTATCCTCCTTAAAACATTTCCGTCCTCGGAAATGCGAAAGAAACACACATCTAAAAGGAACGCCAGACTCGAACGGGAATTTCCAATCACGAGGTCCGCTATCACTCTCCGAAACTCGATTCTGTTCCCATGAGTCCTATCGCCTTCTACTCGAAAGGCATGTACTCACATACAGGCACCAATCCGACTCGCCCTTTGCTCATATGTTTACCTTCTTGCTCGGGAGGGTGATCAGTCCTGCCAGAGCTCAGGCGTACATCTTCTTGCAAGGGACCCAGTTCGGTTTAGCTTATACTCATGAGTATCAACGACTTGCAACAGTACACAAGACCTCAACAGGTCGTTCGGTGTATTGTCATCGTACTCCGACTACCTCACCATCAAGGTGGACACGTGACGCCAAGTTTCAGTCTCGTATCCGAGTCACACTGACAACTTGCTCACGATTTCATCCCGACCGTATGTCTCTCTCAGAGACAACGACACGGTACCACATACATGAAGCACGACACCATTAAGCTCACACTCTCATGATATCGACTCCATGAGTCAAACGCAACCCTTATGCACAAACATAAGGCTTGACCCAAAGCAACACAACATTCCCAATTTGCCGACTCGAAAAAAAACTCCCAAGTAAGGCATAGGGACTCATCGACTACACTCCTTAATCAGAAATCATCGATTAAGGATTTATACACATTTTAGTGGAACTTGGGACTCTCGGTTCAAGGTTCGGGGTAACATAAATAGCTCAGCAAAAACTGGTCAATCAACGAAATGAATCGAAGGTTCGGGGTTAGTGTACAATCACCCAAGAGGCGACACACTCGCTAGCGCTGCATAAGCGGGGCGCTGGGAAGCGTGCGTACCCACCTACTGGGAGACCAGTTGTAAGGTCGAGGCTTGGCCGCACACGCTGGCCTGGGAAGTTTGTCTATTCGGTGATGGCGACTGCAGTTCGCGTGCGAGTCGACGGTCGGCCACGCGCAAGCCTTACGTCTCCCAGCACGGTCGTGCGTGCTCGGCCACCACTTTGCGTGGCTTCACCCAGCCAGGGTCGGGGTTTGGTCTAGGTTTCCACAAGAATTCCAATTCAAGGCTACCAAAAAGGAATGGTTTTACCAAATTTTGAAAATTTTGGGATCAACAAAACAAGTTATGCATCAGGCATTTTACAAATTTCAAAGTTTCAAAAGGTCTCAAAAATAGCAAGGTGTAAGTTCGAGTTCCAAGTCCACCAACTTTCTAAAACAACAAAACGCAATACGCCACAGATCTAACGATATGCGAAATGTCAAAAGGGCTCTCATGGTGATTCTCTCTAAGTAAGCGGCTTCTGTCGAGCCATTAAATAGATAGCTCGCCTCGGCTCTTCCGACTAACAGCGTCGGCTGACACGTCAGCTCTTCCTCGGGTAGCTAATCATGTCAGTAGTCCTAAACGAGCGCAACTCACTTCCCACTCTTCACATTTTTGAATTTGAACGCGAAGTTCTTCCCGGAATTCCGAAAGGAGTAGAAGAACAAAAATTTCCACGATGAACAAGATTTAGAATAAGTACGGTTATGCACTACGCGATGTGCTTGTTTCTGACTCGTCTATCCTCCTTAAAAGGCTTCTGCATAATCTTTTAAGGTGGAAAAACACTCCATCTTCTTATCAAACCGAATTGTGTTGGCTTCAGCTCCTGCGCGTTTATGTCGATGTCGAGTGTGAATAATTATTGTCCCCCTCGAGGTTAGGTTATTCACAAAAGTGGCGACAGAAAAATTTTTTCTCTCGAGTCCTCGTGATATTTTAGCGATGGCATTCGAACGAAACTCTCATACTTCGCAAGAGAATAAAAATACGCAGAAACAAAGAGATGCTGGTTAAAGTCAATCCCAACATAAGATAAATCCGAATTAGCTAAACTACAAGAGAAGCGAAATTTTGTAGTTGGGAAGCTTAAAATAGTTTACACAGCGAATCAAAAGTAGGGAAAGATCAAGCGAAATTCCCCAAGTACAAAAATTGAATAACAAAAGAAGTCTCAGAACAAGTCAAGATTGTTTGTCATGCGAATGGGAATAAACAAAGGTTGCAAAAGTCTACAAGAAATCAGAAATTCAAGAATGAAACATGGCTGCTTCGCCTCCACGAGTCCACGACTCTCTGCCTCCACTATCGGTTCAAGCGGTCCCTGGTAAGTCCTGCTGTCGCTAGGAAATCGCTCACGGCGCAAAATACGGAAAGGAGTTTTTTACGCCTCTTTCAAGACAGGAATGCCATTCAAAATTGCGGAATAAAATATACACGCAGTGCCGGTTCGGTCTATCCGCCTTAAGAACAATGTCAGATTCCTTCGCGGAGAGAATTTCGTAAAAGAATAGGTCATTTTCGTCTTTATCGTGGCCTAGCCACTTTCGAGAGTTGCGATGGTGTTACGTATTAAGTTTCTCCAACACTCCTCGGGGTTGGACATTAAGTATGCACAAGGCACCCAGACTCTATTCCAGCTCGCACTCGACTGGAGGGGTCAAATACACATCCGATGGTCCTAATAACCAAGGTTACAGACCTCCGAATATCCCACACTTGGGACTTCTTCGATTGCCTAATCCCTTCGTTTAAGCCTTCTCCTTTCGAGATAGCTCGGGACTGGTCCTCTTCCGAAGACACCAAAATAAATCGAGAGAACTGTTATACACAGAACTCAGATCGATAACACCATATCAAATTTCTAAACAAACAAAACCTCAAGTTAGAACATAACTCTATATTGCTAGAGTTCAAATTCATACAACTAAGGTTCGCCACTCATCTAGAGTTCCAGTATGTTTAAAAGTAGGAGGATAAATTCCTAAGCCCCGATTTACATATCATAATATCCCAATATTTCACATAAGTAGTTCAAAATTTACTCAAGTAATCATACCTGAGTTGGCGCGGCACGACGGAAGCGAGTGGTCATATATACTACATCATAGTATGCCAGTATTTCACAGAGTTCACATTATTCATATATACCAGTCTACAGAAACGCAGACTGGCTCTGATACCAAACTGTAACGCCTCACTTTTATTTGCCGAAATTCAGAATAATTTTTTTTAAAATTTATTTTAAAACACTTGAGGCGCTACTCTTTTTCAAAAACAATTTCAACAGTATCACATATGCAATTCCCAACGAGTTCAATAATCATAAATAATCAACACCCAAACTGGGTTCATCAAATCCACAAATACTAGGGAGAACACACCCTATCGATAATCCGTTATTCAACATAAGTCTGGAATGCATAGTTCAGAATAAGCAATTTAAGCAGCGGAAATAAGCGATAACATGACCACCACTCGCCTTCCTCTGTCGTGCCCGCAAATACTAACATGCATCCATGAAGAGCAGGTGGGGATGAGCAAAATAGGAAATCGAGGTGCTCACCACTATGCAATAATTAATATTAAATTTCATGAAGTAAAACAGGTATGGTCGCAGTATGAACACAAATCAATTAATATCCCATCTCCTTCCCAGAGTCAACTCTCATGTGCACATCTATACCAATAGACCACTGCTGATACACGTATCGAAAACCCCCGCGGGCCTTACATTCGATGCCCAGACAGTAGGAGTAAATCCACCCTGAATGCCCGGAAACATCCCATCGGACTTACATCGAGGATCACCAGCCAAGGCTCACGCCCTGACTGCCATACATAAATAAAGGAGACACCCCATCGGGTACGTTCTATAGCTACGGGGATAACCGTTCGACGGCCAATATAGCTCACATCGAAGGCTACACGGTTCACATGCATACTTTGATCATACCACAAGAATAACAATTAATTAATGCATAGAAACTTTTCAAGTAAAACCCACCTGGTGTTCGGAAATATCAAATGCAAGTGCTCACGATAGGTTCGAGGGCTCGACTCCTCGAAAACCTAAAAATTAGGAATTTAATTATTATTATTGGTTTTTTGTTAGATTGGTTGGGCCACACAAGCAAGGCAAACATATCAAATTAAGCACATAAAACAAGCAATGAATTAGATAATTTCTACTAACTCTCTGAAATAAATTCTTTTTAACCACGAAAATTAATATGGCCACGGACACGCAAACCTCAACCAAAGCAAACCTCAACCAAATCAACGCCACCATTAAAAGTCTTCTCTTCTTAGACTTTTAATTAACTTCTTAAGCATGGTTATCATATAAAATAAGCTCAGCAACTGAGCAAGATCACACGGCCAAATAGCAACATTTATTCATACATACATGCTTTCATTTCCAACTTCTATCAACACTTGAGCATGCTCTTTTTAAACCACTCAAGGCTCGGAGTTATACGCCACAAACTCAGCATAACAACAATATACTTAGGCATAAAATTGTACTTGATAACATTCCCCATAACTCTCAAATAAACAAAGTATAAATGGCACCAAAACATGTTTCTTTTGGCTCAACCAGCATGTACAAAACAAACCAGTAACAACAACTCAACTATTATGCATCCATTTTGCTCTACTAAACTCTAACCAAAATTAGTACGACAAAAAGGCTTTTAAGCTGAACGAACAACCTCTTCTAACACCTAAATAAAATCCGCATATACTCAGCTCATAGCATATGATTAAGACAACAGCCTCCAAACATAAATAAACAGGGTAAAGTATCATATAGTCCAAAACATGCTAGCTCATGAATAATAATAATAAATAACAACATAAACATCACAGTAAGGCTCCTCATAAACAACATAGAACCAGGCCAAAACAAGAAAGTCATTAAGTCCTCAGCATATAACCAACAGCAACAATGCCTCAGCAAAGTTCAAACACGCAAGGCAACAAAATCATTCGACATAGGCATAATGTTTACACCGAAAATCAAGCACAAATAAACCACAACATCTTAGCCATATAGAGGGTAAAAAGGCGTCAGCCATAATACCTACTGAAAAGAGGGCTCGATTCGCTCGACGGACATCCCCTGGAGACGGTTGACAAGCCCCGGGTTGCTGCCCGGTAACCGGACGTGGGAAAACAGGCTGTTCGGGGCTCTCGGCAAAGGATCGACCCGCTTCTGTTCTCGCCCGGGACCCAAAAGGGCTGCTGCTGCTCAGAATTGAAACCGTCGGTTGCTCGATAAGAGCCTCGAGCGGCTGCTACTCGTTGCCGGAAAAAGCTCGGGTCTACAAGGCTATGGCGAACGGCTGGGTGCACTCGTTCGCCGGCAGGGCTGCTCGAATCTTCGCTAAGGGTCAGCCTTCGACAGTCGTCCTTGGTCTCTTCAGCCGTCGGGAACTGAAGCTCTTCGCCGGCGTTTTCCCGCTTTCGATTGCACAATCTCTGACGCCTGGAACTCGCCGGACTGGTGCTGCTCTCGCTGGAAATCCCGTCGCTGAGGCTTGGTGCTCTTGCCTTTGGATGGCCGGAGGTCAGAGTTTGAAGGGATCGAGGCTCAGTCGGGCTAGAGATCGGAGGTTGGATCGCGGCTCGACGTCGGGAATAGATCCGCCGCTGCTGCTCGTTCTCGGTTCACCTACATCGCGTCGCCGGGAATCTCGTCGTTGGGCCGATTCGGCTGCTCTCGCCGGGAAATTGGACTCAGGTCGCGGAGGAGCTCGGGAATCACGGCTCGAGATAGAAGCTAGTTGTCCGTCTAGAGATCGGAGGTCGGAGCTCAAAGGTCTCGGAGGTCGTCGGCGCGCACGGACTCCTCGTAGCCAGAAATGGTTGTCTCTCGAATTCGCTAGGCGATTTCTGAAATCCGGAGGAGAATTCAAGGGGCATAAAATGGGAGAAGCGGCTGATGCTCTAAATCCCTTAAATAGGGAGTATTAGGGCAAATCCGATCAAAACAGTGTGGCCGGAATTTGGGGAAAGGCCGAGGATTATGGACGCCGTTGCACGAGAGCTGCGACCGTTTCTTTGGAGGAGAGAGAGTTGCTCGAATGAAGAAGATGGGCTTAAAATTGGTTGCTTATTATTAGTTTGGGCCGACAACTTTGCAATTCTTAGATACTCTTGGGCTAGATATTGGGCTAAGTCATTAACTTCAATTTGGGCCAAGAAGATTTACTCCAAATAAAGTGGGTCACTCAACATAAAGGAAAATGGGCTGGATATAAAAATTTAAATCAATTTCGCTAGTATTATTCCCAATAAGGGCCGGAAAATAAATATTCGAAAATGAGCCGAAAATATTCTCGATAAATTGGACCGATAGAATAACGCGGTAACAAGGACTTCCAATCGATACAATTAACGAATTGGCGATGGAAAATAATGAAATAGAGCGACTTATTACATCAATTAGACGAGAACCTCCAATTAAAAATAATAAGACTAACTGAAAATATCGAGTAATTACCGAAATAAAATAAAATACGATAATTAAATAATCCAGGAAAATACATAATAATAATATTAGTAAAAATACAAATACACATTTAATTAGATAAAAATAACATTTAGACAATTAGGCATTTAATTACAATTTGACAAATAAATCATATAAGACATTTAAAAATTTTTAATCAAATAAATAATAAGAATAACAAATAAATAATAATAATAATAATAATAATAATAATAATAATAATAATAATAATAATAATAAATAATCCTCAAAAATTTTATAATCAAACGGGGCATTACAATAATAGCCTAGGTTAAGAATTCTTGTACAAAAAGAAAACTCATACACATGGGCTCAAAGGTAGAAAATCGGTTCCAGGCTCGGGCCGAGCTGTTTGGGCTTGGTTTGGCTCGGGCTCAATTTGACATCTCAATTCGGTTCGGCTCTCGGGCCCGACTAGACGTAGTTTAAATACTGTTTTCTCGGGCTCAATAAATTAAATCGCAAGATAAAATAATGAACCGGAAGATGTATATAAATATATTACACATAATTTAATTTTAAAAATAGTAATAATTATAATATTAGTAAAAATACAAATACACAACTTAATAATTTAAAATGATAACATTTAGACATTTTGGCAATTAAATAATATTTAGACAATTAAATCACACTAGACAATTAAATAATTTTAGCATTCAACAAATAATACTAATACTAACACATCAATAAAAATAATAATAACAATAATAATAATAATAATAATAATAATAATAATAATAATAATAATAATAATAAATAACCTTCAAAAAAATTTCATAGTCAAACGGGGCATTACAATCTATCCACCTTAAAAGAATTCCGGCCTCGGAATTCGAAAACTAAAATAACTAGAATACAAGGGAAAAAATTAACACATGGTGCTTGGTACTCCCTCCGAATTTCGGTCACTTTCTTCCAAGTCGCTTCGCCCTCGACTTGACTTCTCCCACTGAACTTTGACGAACACCCCTTCCGGCATTTTCCTAATGGACACTCTAGTCCAGTAGGTCACCGGTACCTCCATACAGGTAGGGTTCTGCCTATCACGTAGCTCGTCACACAACATACATACCTCGAGGTCAAGCAACGTTCCCTCCATCATGAGGCATAGAACGTGTCATGCATCCTCGAAAGCTCCAGTGGTGCAGTCAATCATCAGGCTACGTCATCGACTTGGTCAAGACTCATAATAAATCTGGCCGCAGCCTCTTCTCTTACCACGAAACTCCTCACTTCGCGTGGTATTAACCATGCAACTGAGTACATCGACTCCTTAAGGATAAAACCTTCAAAGTTGTTTCACCTCAATAGTCCTCCCACAAGACTTAGGTCATTGCATTACACGTGAAAAATTTCCAGAATCGATACGTAATTACACACTAGAGACTTGGCAGTTGTGGTATGAATGGCTGGCCTAGCATGCGGCAACGCGGCACGCTAGCATGACACTTCCTACGACTCGAGATGCATCATCGAGCGTGGCACGCCTGTGCGCGGCACCAGCACGCATTATACCTACACCACCCGCATCCAGTAGCTACGGTTCATTCCTCGTCGGCTTTTACATCTCCCCGTGTTGATACGTACTCGAAGATCGAAAATCCCCTAGTGTTTTGCGACCCTAGTTCAAGCTACAAAATCCAAGCACTCGGACTTCGCTGTTAGGGCACTCGTACTTCATCATGAGTCAAGTGGTTGATTACTCACGATGCTTCCCACAACTCCTTCTATCTCGTAACAATCATAGAACTGGCCTGAACCTCCTCCTAGATCCCTCGGCCTGACACCCAATTCGATCACAAAAGGGGTGACTAATCTACGCCTATCTCTAGGCCTAGGTGATCTCAAGAGTTGCAACATTATTCGCTATTTTGAACCCTTCACATCGACTTAAAGATGTCATGAAACAGAAGTCCGAATTTTTGGTGAACACATCATGATCAATAGAAAATTAAGACTTTTAACCCCGCGAGGAAAGAAAAGACAAGAGAGATTTTCAAATAACAAAAATTGAATAACCAATAAAAGACTCAGAGCGAAAATTCAAAATAACCAATAAGAGTCTCAAACGAAATTCGAACTTGTCTGGTAAGCGATAACAAGGTCTACCAAAATAAAGAGGAGCGAAGTTCGAACAAAAGAAGGAACAAATAATCATCTCAAGCCCGATATTTGGTCCACTGCTCAGCCTTGGCTCTGCTCGGCTTCGTGCTGGGCCATCGTGTATACCCGTGCTCAACCTCCTTCGCCAAACCTTGGTTGGGCCTGTTGATGCTGCTGCTGAAGTGGTGGGGGCTGCTGGGCATTCTGCTGTAGGGGCGGCGGAAGCTGGTGCTGCTGCTGATAAGGTCCTTGCTGCGGCCTCGGGGGTTCGGGGCATCTATTGGCGAAGTGTCCAGGACGTTGGCAGTTGTAGCAGAGTTTCTGGGCATAACGACACTCTCCGTAATGGGGCTTTCCACAAGTAGCAAACTTCGGATACTGATTCTGTGCGGTGTCACGTCTGTCTGATCCTCCGCGTTTTTCCTTCCAGTTATCTCGGTGGGATTCAGACTTCCTCTTGTGAGAGCCAGAGCTGGGATGAACAGAAGTGATAGGCTGCACATGTTGTGTAAAAGGCTGAGAAAGAGCTGAGGCATGAAGTTTCTGATAGCTCTCAGTTGCTGGGCACGGATGACAGTCTCCCCATAGGAAAGATTGCCCTGGCTAGTGAGGTGCATGCAGAGGCCAGGACGGAGCCCATCACGGAACTGAGTGGCCTTCTTCTCCTCGGTGTCCACCAGCGTTGGAGCAAAGGGGCTCATGCGGACAAAATCCCGCTCATATTCATCAACAGTCCGGGTCCCCTGGTGGAGATCCCAGAACTCAAGCTGCATTTGCTTCTTGTAGCTGAGGGGGTAGTACTTATCGAGTATCACCTCCTTCATTCTGTTCCAGGTGAGATTAGCGCGCTCAGCCGACCTAAGCCTCTAGTGGTCGTGCCACCAGATGTCGGCATCACCCTCCACCTGATACTGGGCACAAACAATCTTCTGCTCATCGGTGCACATCAAAAGATCGAACATCCGATCTATCTTGCGGAGCCATTTAGCCGCGACTGTGGGCCCCTCGACCCCTGTGAAAGCCGGTGGGGTCAGCCGTTGAAACTTGATAACCGTCTCGCGATGGTCATCCTGCTGAGGTGGAGGCAGAGGCGGAGGTGGAGGTGGGTTTTGCTGATTGTTGCGAGTATTACGGGTATTGCGATTGGCCATAGTTCTACATTGAATAGGCCAAGCGGAAAAGGCACAATAATTATCAGAGAAAATCTAGAGTTCTCCATGAAACACTAGAGTTGAATCAAATTTCAAAATAGGTGGATGGATCCTAAGACCCAATTAACATCATAACATATTATCTCACAAATCGGACAATTCATAATCAATTTCAAATTAATTATGAAACTCATACCTGAGTTGGCGCGGCACGACCAGAGCGAGTGGTCATATCATAAGGTCAAAACATTTAATCACATATTGACCAGTCTACAGAAACGCAGACTGGCTCTGATACCAAACTGTAACGCCCCACTTTATTTTAAAGATTTACCATATTTATTTAATAATAATCACTATAAATTTTTCGCAAATCTCAATTTAATAAAAACTTAGTGGGCACTACTTATTTCAAAACAAACATCAATACTCAATCAATCTTCAATTCTTAGTCAATTATTAATACTCAATACTCAATAATAAACCTCAATACTCCTGTCTGCAATCCAATAATCATGATATCTAGGGAATACATTCTCTATCAATAATCCAGTACTCATTATTCGAAAAACATAAATAACAATAAACAATTCAGACAGGCGGAAGCAATATCAACAATATGACCACCACTCGCATCCCTCCGCCGTGCCCGCAATACTAACCTGCATCCATGAAGAGCAGGTGGGGATGAGCACAATTGGAATCCGTAGTGCTCACCACTATGCCATAATCAACACTCATAATATAGAACTGATAATATCACAGCATGGTCACAAATCAATAACATATTCCATCTCCCATCAATAATATCTACTCATGTGCACATCTCTATAAAGCTACTGAGTGTCTTCGTATCGAATGCCTCCGTACAGGCCTTACATCGGCGCCCACTCAGTAGGAGTATTTGTCGATTGCCTCCGTACAGGTCTTACAACGACATACATATCGAAAGCCTTCGGCCACTGCCCCGGTCTTACATACGATATGGCCTCCGTACAGGACTTAAGGAGACTGCCTATAATTAGGCACCGTCGAAGGACATACAACTCACATCGACAGGGACCACCGTACCGACGGCCGTTATTAGTTCACATCGATAGGCTACCAGGTTCACATACATATATAATAATCGCACCAATCTCAACATCTATAAACATGTATGGCATAGCAATTTTAAATAAAACCCACAACAATAACAATTAGATTAGGGCATAGGAAATTTTGAATAACCCACCTGGTCGCAAATAGGAGATAATCACGAAAGCACGATTAGGCTGCGAGCTCGGCTCGTCAAACACCTACATTAAGTCCAGATGCTATAATCAACATCTATTCTGACTTAAACGAAAAACCACAATCATACTTAGTCGAACTTGATTCAACTAAGTTGTTCGTGAAGTCCTCTGGACGTTGGAACACTTAAACTTGACATCTAGACTCAACCAATTACACATGGGAGTTCACATAATCCAAAAATAAACATTGACCAAGTCAAACACTTAATGAAACAAATGACTAGTCGGTTTACAGTTTTTATTCTAAAAACCCCGATTAAGATTATACTAGTTTAAATCACAAAAATGAGTTGACCAGGTTGCCATCTGAATTTGGCTCTCAAATTTTAACCAAAGTTTCACCTTCTAGAGATAAGCACATACACAAATTTTCAGCTTCAAATCCAAGTACACTATTTTATAAAATTCCCACAAGATTTCAGCAAAACCGAGCCATGAATTTATACTCAAACTTAATGAATGATTCAGGACTTAATAATTTTACACAATACCCTACTGCATGATATAAACAACATATAAAAACCTCAGCCCTTAACATTAACTGCTGCTATTTTTAAAAATCTAAACAAGATTCAACAGTTTATCAAATGTAAATCAAAACTGAATCGAAATGAACTCTAAAAATTTTCATATTTTAACAGCATGAATAAACACATAAAACAAGCAACACAGTAAAGTTTCAGAACTTTCCAGCAACAACTCAGTTTATTAAAATTAAATTATGAAACTGCAGAACACGACAAATAATCTTTACACATAGCAAACGAAATCCTAAAATTCCAAAACTTTTACATGACTTAGAAAACACACAGGAAGACAGCATATTCAAATTTTATAAATTTTGAGGCACAACTGAATTTAATATGCATTTTACATGATTCTGCTCAAATTTCCAAACAATTATTAAAAATAGCTAAACTTATTATTTAAATCTGAAATTTTTACACAACATGTATTTCTAGTAGAGGGTCGAGCACATAAAATTTCACTTTGATTCGAGCATCACAGAATTTATCATAATTTATATATCAAAACAGCGATTAAACAAATTCAATAATTCATAACCGACTCGATTTACGACGAATCCGTCCGAAGTCTTCGCCATAAGACTAAGGACGATATAAGTTCCAGCCCACAACGACAAATTCACGAGTTGACGAGGCCTCGTTCGATTTTTCCAAAATCGAAAGGCTCGTCAACGCACAATTCAATAAACGACAACAATAATAACCTCATGAACACAAATAAAATCACATAGGCATATTCCCATGAATTCAATATTCACATACAACAATCAAATTCACAACATAAACGAGACGTAAAATTAAACGAGACGAGTCGAGCCTTGTACCGTTCTCGGGAAATAAACGAAAACGGAACGAACGGTTGACGGAAAGCTCGGTGGCTTGAGGAGAGGGTCACCGGCTCACACGCGGCGGCTTTAGTGTGTCTGTGGCAGAGCAGCAGTGGTCGAGGGCGCTGCAGCTGGTGGTCCGCGGCCTGGAGATCGCGAACGGAGGGTGAGGTCGCCGGAAAACAGGTTCACGCGAGAACGATAGCGGGAGAGGATCGCGGGGAAAGGGAGATGACGGGCTTGCAGCGTTTGAGAGGGGTTCACGGCGTTGCTGGCTTGTCGTGGTGGCGAGATGGGCCTGACGAGATGATGGCGACGGGATGATCGAGTTCTTGCGAGGAAGATGATGATGGCGAAAAGCGAGGGATGAAGATGATGACAATGGGCGATGATGGTTGAGAGGGATGATGATAACTGAAGGCAAGGGGCTACCTTCTCTGCTCAAGTCGCCAGATCGAGAAAAACAGATGAGAGAAAAAAAAAAAAAGAACTGCGGGGCGAGAGATGAGAGATAGAGAGGAGGGTGAATACATACGTATGTATATGTATAAGAGCCTAGGTTAAGAATTCTTGTACAAAAAGAAAACTCATACACATGGGCTCAAAGGTAGAAAATCGGTTCCAAGCTTGGGCCGAGCTGTTTGGGCTTGGTTTGGCTCGGGCTCGATTTGACATCTCAATTCGGTTCGGCTCTCGGGCCCGACTAGACGTAGTTTAAATACTGTTTTCTCGGGCTCAATAAATTAAATCGCAAGATAAAATAATGAACCGAAAGATATATATAAATATATTACACATAATTTAATTTTTGAAATTGTAATAATTATAATATTAGTAAAAATACAAATACACAACTTAATAATTTAAAATGATAACATTTAGACATTTTGGCAATTAAATAATATTTAGACAATTAAATCACACTAGACAATTAAATAATTTTAGCATTCAACAAAT